ATGTGAAGGCATTCATTCGTTCTTTACGTATTTTTCACTTCAAATCCTTCTGCCTCCTTCTCCTTACTCCATTGTTGTGTGCCTTCTTTCCTGGTTCTAGTGACTCCAGTTGCTTTTAACCCTTCTTCACTTGAATATCCTTCCTCTTGTCACAACTATGGCTAATGTATCCTCTAGTTCCGATGAGAGAGATAACCCTGTCCCCTTGGCGGTGATTATGCCTCCTTATGCTGATGGCAATTCTGTTGCCATTGAAGACGAGAAGTTTCCTACGGTGGAGGAAATAATTCCTTGTGGTGGCAAAACATTGGGTCAGAAAAAATTGTAGGTACTGTTGCTTGTTTAAAGAAAATGGGAACATTGAGGTTTCTGTTTCTTACTTCTCGTCATCTGTACACATTATTATTAGATTTAAGGCCTTAAGATTTCTTTGAGCCTTGTTCTCAACATTTTATTTTGCAAATGATGATTTTTAATGCTTATATGTAAGTTGATTGGCGTTATGAGTCGATGGTCAGAGCTGTTGATTTAAGAACAATAACAATAATACCAGTAGTAGTTAGTATAATTGCAACTGGCATTGAGCTTCTGGACATATATTTGATTTCGTAATTGAATTATCTCCCGTGTGCAGTTAAGTAGGCTAAAAGTGCATTATTTCTTCTTCTAGTAGCTAATGACATACCTGATCCAAAGGCGGTTCTATTTCTGATCTGATAGCTTCCTGATGAGCTCATAGGCTGTTTGATTTCTCTGCCTCCTAATTCTCATAGTTCAAGTTTCTTCTGTTTATCCTATTGTTTCAATAAACTGATTTCAGTTCTTCCATCTAAGATTGGGTGTGAATTCAACTTTTTGAGAGAGGCTGACGCAATGGATAGAATTCGGCGTTTTCTCTACGAAAATAACAAAAAGTCCCCAGTTATTGTTCCCCGGGTGCTTCGAGATATTGTCACAAGGTGAACTGCTGCTGAATATTTGATCAGTTGATGTTTTCATATTCGAATGTTGGTAGATTTTGATATTCAGTGGACATTTGAGATGTCTTGCTGTTATAAGGTGGATCAAGAGATTGTTGAAAACTAAATTCTCACATCTTGTTTGCTTTCATCATTCCAACTACTAATAGATGTAAGTTAGGTTCATTTACTTTCAACCTCGGTTTGTCTGTACTCTGTTAGATTTATGAACTTTATATTAACAATGTAAGTTCTTTTCATTTACCTTAGTAATCCCTTTTTTTTTTTGTCTAAATTTTGTAATAGGAGGGTCCTAATGATGGAATATATTGATGGAACCCCGATCCTGAAGCTGGGTGATGAAATGTCAAAGAGAGGCATAAGTCCAGATGGTAAAGTTGCAGCAGTGGCAAAGCAGTGAGAAACCAGATTTCTCAGAATGAACTTAGATTTCACGTCATATTTTCTCTTCTCAATTTATTTTGGTCACAATCTCTTTCGATATATTTGTTATCTCTGCAAGACTAAATTTAACACAAAATAGCTGGTTTCTGAATTATTCCTGAAATAACAAACTTTATGGTGATTGCGACACTTGTTCTAGGTTATTACGCCACTTATCTCCACGAAAGATTCTCATTCTACACCTATATCTTCTTAGAGATGAGATTCTTCAAAATCTCTCCTCTCAACCAGAAGAACTTTTGAAGATGTTTCGCCACCTACCTATTTATTTAAGAACATAAAGTATATTCTCAAAAGCTACATAGCTTGAGATGTTTGCCGTACTAAAACGTTCCACCACACAATCTTCACTTTGAACTTCTCAGCTCTTTGCCATGTTAACTGTTGCAAAGAGCTCCCTTTTTTTCAGTAATTCGTCATTAATTAAATTAACGCAGAACTCTGTTATTCCTTCTCAAATATTTCCTAAAATAGAGAAGTCTTTATTCTCTTAATATGACTCTTTCAGTCAATTTATTTTCCCAAACTATCATTACTATTTACAAAGTCAGTAGTTTCCAAGTGTTCCTAGTCTCTTTTCAACGTCATTCAGCTTCTCTTATTTGGTTAATTCTGCATGCAGGAATATTCTTAAAAGTTTGTCCCTGGCATATGGACAGATGATACTCAGGAGCGGTTTCTTTCATGCAGATCCACACCCTGGGAATATTCTAATCTGTAGAGGTGCCGAGGCAAGTATGCGTCTTCTCTTTTTCTTCTTCCGCATTCAGTTCTCGATGATCATATATAATTTGTTCTTGTTCAGAGTGCTGACAAGGATCATGCCATTCTTTTCTTAATTATTAAGGTTGCATTGCTGGATTATGGACAAGTTAAGGATCTTCCAGAAAATCTCAGGCTTGGATATGCTAATCTCGTTCTTGCTATTGCGGATGGCGATGCTACGAGGGCCAAAGAAAGCTTTAAGTGAGGAATTTACCTACAAATCTCCTGTTATATGTTCAAAATTGGTTTTCTTTCCGGTGAAACGAAATTGTGCAAAATACTAAGGGAAGGACTCAAAACCTCTGAATTAAAACCATTCTTCCAACAGAGAAAGTGACTACAATAAATAGACAAGAAAATAGCAGTTTAAGTTCTAGCTAGTCACATTGAAATAAATTGATAGTGGCAATTAAAAACTATTTTCACCCTTTAAAATTTACTACCCATAACTTGTAACTAAAATATCTTCTTTCAGTTTTGAAAAAGAAAATAGGATAAATATTAAGTGGGGGGATGAATCATTGTCATTGAAATGTGAAAATTCCTCATCGGCGGGCAAGATTGTTAATGTCAAACACCCTTTTTCATGTGGAAAAGAAAGCAGCATTAGCATTCTATTTCTATTCAAGTGTGAAGAATGGAAAATGGAGTTGATTTCTTGGAGCAAACCAACT